CTACTGCTACTGCTACTGCTACAAATACTACTACTGCTACTGCGACTACTACTACTACTACTACTACTACTACTACTACTCATGCTGCTGCTGCTTCTACTACGAAGCTACCATCACCACCACAATCACTGGCCTGCTTGGTGTCCTTGCCCTCCAACCTGACACCTGGCACTGGTCGACTGGGGACGCTGGAGCTGGGTGTGGTTTTGCGAAACTGCACGGATGAAAAGGAAGCAGGTAACAAAAACAAACAGAACGCTTCGAAACAACCAAGGGTACACAGGCCCAGCACGGTCAGACCAAATGGGGGCATGGCACCACTTGGATGGGTGTACGCAGTGCCTCTAATCCTGTTCCAACCGGGATCACGGGCTCGCTACACACCGATCCAGGAATCCAGAGTAGCCTTGACCTCGTATGCATTGTGCAATGCTACAAACGTGCGCTGTGGTCGCATCGTTTTGGTCCTGCCTTGGAGCCAGCAAGGCTGATCATGGGCACGATGATGAAACCCCAAACTTCTTCCAGTGTTAATCGTACATCAACGTGTGAAGAGGTCAAGAAGCTCACAGGTCACTCTGCGGAGCAGGCCTCCAATCATGCCAATGACCTTTGACAGCGCCTCGCGCGATGGCCCTGAGAACCTGCGAGAGACGCAAGACGAAGCCTATCAATATGAAAGAATCCTTACCTCTGGTCGCCCTGACCCACATGAAATCTGCTGTCACCAAATCGCCAGCAGCAGGTCTCCAATCTTGTGGGTTCCTACTCTCTCGTGCTGGTGCTATTTACAATCTGCCTCCAGATACCACTGTCGTGCTTAAGATGCAGCAATCGTAGGTTGCAGTGCTCAGCCCCGATGGCTGTCCACTTCCGTGCGCAATCCTCCAGAACGTAACGCAGCCCATGACATGCAACAAATCCATTGCTGCTCTGTGCACTATGTGTTCCACATGAAGTGTTACCGTGTACACAAAATAAACTAAAGACATGCATGCGTGTATGCCGGCCCTGTGTGTACATGCGTGTCTATGTGCATAAGCATGTATGTACGTATGTGTGCACACATGCACGTATGTATTTCTGTGTGAACTAACGTGACAATGCTGGAGAGACTGTGTGAGAAAGTATGCGTACCCCTATGCATGCGAAAGCATATGCACGTGTACATGTGCGTGTATGTGTATATAAATGTACATGTGTATGCACGCACACGTGTACATGTGCTGTGTGGGTGTGTGGGTGTGTATCTGTGTAAACCTTGGCATGTAGGTACGTACATATGTAAGCGTATATACAAGTACATATACTCTATTCATTTTTGCCTCCCGCCTGGCTAGGACGAACCTACGATGCGGGGTCATATTGGTGGGGTACACGAACAAGCTTAAACAAATAAGCAAAAGAACATATATATATATATGCATATATATATATATATAGCGGCCGTGTGTGTGTGTGTGCGGAAGTATGCCTTAACCCT